AGAATAACACTAAAAAAGAAGAATTTTCTTAAAAATTAATGCTTAGGGTACATCAAAATTATTGTAACCTCCTGTTCTTGCTCAGCAAGTCCAGCCTCAGAGTAACCATGGCAACACCAAGCACCCATTTTGTGGTTTTCTCCCCCACTTGTAGCCACTGTCAGGGAAGCCAGTCCTGGCTTTGCCGCAGCACCAGGGAGCAGGGAGTGCTGCGGGAGTCAAGGTAGTAAACTGACCCGCCTGCTTTATGGTTTGTAGCCATCCTGCATGGCTGCTGAGCTGCTCTGTGTGCCACAGCTTTCCTCTGAGGCTCATGGAGACATGGAGGGACCACCAACATGCAAACAGCCCTGGTACATCAGCTGGCGACAGCTTCTCCTGCCTTTATCTACATGAGATTTTAAGTCCTTAAGTCCTGTTTGCCTCCATCCATGATGGGAAATGGAGCATCGGGTTTTGCTGTCCTTGCTGATGCCACGCGTGGCTGCTGGCACCAGGAGGCGCTTCCTGCAGCAGTGAGTGCTGAAGGCTGCATGCCTGAGCTCCTGGAGCGGGCAGTGAGTCATTCACCTCCAGTGGAAGCAGTAAGTAGGGACAAGCTTGGTTTCCACTCCAGATGCAGCATCTCCACCTTTGACACAGGCGGCTTTTCTGTCCCATCAAGGCTGAGCGTGGAGGAAAATATCTTTTCAGTGTCAGGCATGTTCTCAATACGAGTCACCTTTAGCAAAAGCATCCTTTTGCCTGCAGGCTGGAGTGGTCCTGATTCTCACAGCATCCCCGTGTCACCTCTAGGAATAAAGGTACATACAAACATCACAGGCAGCTGACAAGCTGAAGAAAAATAGTGCTTGCTGTCTCTGACCCCCAGTCACACAATCTCTGCTGACCACCTGCAGTTTTTCTGGCTTTCCTCTCACCAGCATCGCCAGTGCTGTGCTTTGCTGTGAAAATGATACAAACTACGGCTCAGCCGATGAGAAACACAGCGCAGCCAGGGGCACGTGTAGCTGTCACACCACTGTAGCCTGCAGCAGTCCCCCAGCACGGTGGCATCTTCCCCAGCAATTTTGCACAGGATGGCTCTGCAAAATTACCCAGTAATTAGATAAAACAAGCAGGATCCCTTTGCTTAGCAGCAGGACAAATGCTGCGAGACTGACCCACACCACAGGTGCCTTCCCAGGTCTTCACTTTGCCCTGTTTATGACAGTGCATTACAAGGAATCTCTGGGGTGACCAAAACATCACGGAGCCATTGCAGCAGACCCTGTGGCAGTCAGCAGAGCTATTTCGTGTGCACAGAGTGAGGGTGGATGACGATCCCAGGCTGTTTGGATAAGGTGCGATTAAAGGAAGATAGAAACAACAGCCTGATTTCGTTCTGCAAATTTGTAAGTATCTGTTTCACTCACCTGGGTTTTTTCCTACAGGGATTGCTACTGCTTTTCTGCTTTGCCTTTAATGAATAAATCCTTCCTGCGAGAAGCTGCATGCACTTTGTTTTACTATTTTGTCCATTAACAGCCTTAGCTTTGCAGGCTATGAGGCCATTCCTTTCCACAGTGACATCAGCCCGTGGAGGATGTGATGTAATTTAGCACGAGTAATTTAGAGTTAAGCTGCTGCAACAGCCACAGGCTCCCTCCACCGTGCAGAGCGTTCTGACGCAGTGCAAAGGCTCCTCCTTGCGATAACAAAGGAGACAGTGGGAGACACGCTCGACAGACCTCCGTTTCCTACATTAACACGAGCTGTGGACACAACGTTCCAGGACCGGGAACAGAGAGCTGTGCTCACCCAACCGCGCTCACCCCACTGACCCCACATGCGCTCAGGGCCGTGGAGTCAAAGCTGACAGCCACGAGCATCAGCCCATGTCGATGTGCATCCATCTGGGTACTGTTACCTACCACAGACAATAGATTGAGAGCGCTTTGGAGAAGGGCAATGCCTTTTTCATTCCCTGCAAAGCATCCTGCTCTCCTCTGGACACTGCATAAAGCCGCTCTGCTGTTTCCAAGGTGATGCCTAGAGGTGAAGCCTGTCATGTATTTTCTTGCCGGTAGCAGCAGCTGTAGCTGAGAGATGACCTTGGACGGGCCAGTGTTTGAATGGAGGTAGGAAAAAGACTGGGAAAAAAAGTTCTATTTGTAATCGTTTTTTAAATATCGATAAGAAAAATATAAATGAGGGCATTTCTTGTATGAGATGGTGTTTTCTAATGCACTTCAAGTCCTTGCACCTGGAGTGAGCATTGTACCTACATTGGAAACCACAAAATCATTTGATCCTTCTTTATGTCTGTCTTCTAAGGCGACAGTTACATTTGTTGTTTGTGCCTAATATTGTCTTGAGTTACCTGAGGAGGACTCTGGTTTTAAGGTTTCGAGCTTTAGGAATCAAAAAGTGTATGTTCCTTTCTGTGGGCTCCTTAAAAGAGGGACTTGCTGTGGATGCAGCACTTGGCCCTTTGCTACCTTTGGGACTTCCTGAAATCTTGTGGAACCTTTTCTAAACTTGAGAATATCATTCTGGAATTTCTTTCCCAGAGTTTTGCCACACTTTAGGCTTGGTTTACCCTCACTGGAGTCTTTTGCTGACCTCCTTGAGCTCAGAATTTCATAGCACTCTTTGGTTTTGCAAGCAGTGGAGGTTTGGTTTAATAGCCACATTTCAGTCAGTGCCCTAAGGAAACAAAGAGAAGCTGACCCCAGAAGATGCTCATCTCCTTTTTGGTTTTCCTTCTGGTAATTCCATGGTGGAAGTGTAAGCACATCCTGTGCACGCATGGATGTGACGGGCATTTCTCTAAAACATTATAATCTGTTCTTGCAGGGTAGCGTTGCTACCCACCTAGGTTAGACCGTCACTTCATCCGGGCTGCCATCTGCCTCTGAGCAATCAATGCCAGGTGTGTTAAAGGAAAATTGACAAGATCAGCCCTGGGCTTTGAACACGGTTGTTTGAATGTCAGCTTTTCTCAGGGCAGTTTTGCCCAGTCCCGTGGTGTTCAAGATGAAACTAAAGGCTGGGAGATGGTAACCAGCAATAGAGCGTGGATGTTTGAATCACTGTCAAGTCCTGAAGTCCAGAAAACTTGGAAGCAGAAGGATGAATGGAGATGAAGGGAGCTCTGGTCAACTCTCATCCTCCCTCCAGTCCTCACCAGGAGTGTAACACAGTTGTGGTCATTCAAGTGAGCCCTCATTGAGCTGGAGGTCTTCTCAACCACGGGCTCTGATGCAGTGGAGACTTGCAGTCTGGACTGGTGTCTGTGGTTCTTTGGGCAGCAAAAAGAGTAAGCCATCCACCGCAAGAGCATTTTGTTTCGATGTTAAAACGTGATAGACAACAAATGTCTTTGTGTCTGTAAGCTGGGTGGTTTATGCCTTCTCAGGCACGAGAAGTGCCTTCTCAGGCACAGAAGCCCTGCCATTCCCAAGGCAGGATTTGGTTTGCAGAGAGAAGAGCAGAGGCGACTGTCCTGCTTTGCAGGCAAGATGCAGAGCATGACCTATATTGCAAGGGAGAGACCCCGAGGCAGATTTAGCAGCTCACAATTACCTCTTTTAGCACTGCTTAGCCTGGCACAGGGCAGAGATGGTGTGACAGGGTTTGACTGCCTCGCTCCAGCTCAGGGCTGGCCCCATCCTCTCTCTCCCCACAGCAGGATGGCAACCACGCAAGAGCTGTTGGTAGCTGCAGCAGAATGCCTGAGCATCAGCATGAGGTACTACGAAACCTCTGCCTCCACGTCCAGTGGCACAGCTCTGCATTAGGTCACGCATTTGTTGTTTGCACCAGGAGGAATTGAGGTGGCATGTGGTAGGGAAATAGTGGGGGGTTTGTTTTCTATGGAAAACAATGGAAATGTGCAAAATCAAAACCACACGGGCCATACCGCTGTGCAAATCCTAGGCTTACAGCAGCTCTGCTGCCTACAATAAGACCAAGCATACTTACTTGCTGTGCTGAATTCCAGGCAGCACTGTGGTACATCCAGAGGGCACAACAGGCGCCTGAATTAGGGTACAAGCATCAGTTCAGCAATGTTTTGCGTTTATAGTCACTGGAAGACTATAGACTTGTGGTGGATTCTCCAGTCTTGGACACTTTTAAGATTTGGCGGGTCAGGGCGCTGGGACATCTAGGCTAGGTCATGCTTTGCTTGGAAAGGTTGGACCAGATGAAACTGGAACTGATCCCTTCCAACCTGGGATTCTATGACTCTGTGATAAGAAAAGTAAAGCTAATGGTGGCTTACATGCACATACGCTTCGGATTTTGCTAAGAAACACTAACCCCAGCCCTCTGTCCACTCCAAAACACTCTGGCAACAGCCAACAGTGTATTTCTCCAACTTGGGTTTTCTCCTGTTTATACGTTTTGGTAATTCCCAGAACCAGAAAACAGGGAAGCAGGGCACAAAGGATTAGCACAAAACCAAGGTCCCCTCATGCTGTCACCTCCTCCAGTCCATGAGATGAGTGCCTCTGAGGGATGTTTTCCGGGTGTTCCCACCTGGGACAAGACCCTTTTCCAGAAGAAATTCGGCAACAGGGCACAGCTCCCCAAGCCATGTGGGGCAGGTCAGCTCTGGATGGTCTCACCTGCGAGGTACAGGATGTGGCACATGGGATAGGAGCAACGTAATTCAGTTTTGGGAGGTGAGCTCTAGCCCTGGGACCCCTGCCAAAGCTGCTCTATAAAACACCAGGCTTACCCAAGCAACAGGCCCAAATTGCTAAGTGTTGGATTTAAGCTACAACAGTGAGTTTTCTATCCCAGTGAACTGCATGGCATCCTGGTCTGGCAAAACACAGTACTGGGCATCAGTATGGCACTGAATGGGGGATGTGGGACACATACCCAGGACCACAGGTGTTTTTCAGCCTATAAACACAACAGCTTACCCAGGATCTATCAGATATTACGGGTGCATATTTGCTACTTCAGATGGGGAAGCCCGGGAGGATTATTGAGGAGGTTAGAATCACAGAATCATAGAATAGTTAGGGTTGGAAAGGACCTTAAGATCATCCAGTTCCAAGCCCCCTGCCATGGGCAGGGACACCTCACACTAAACCACGGCACCCAAGGCTCTGTCCAACCTGGCCTTGAACACTGTCAGGGATGGAGCATTCACAGCTTCCTTGGGCAACCCATTCCAGTGCTTCACCACCCTTACAGTAAAGAACTTCTTCCTTATATCTAACCTGAACTTCCCCTGTTTAAGTTTTAACCCGTTACCCCTTGTCCCATCACTACGGTTCCTAATGAAGAGTCCCTCCCCAGCATCCTCACAGGTACCCTTAGGGCTGATAGTCTCACTCCTGTCCGCACTATCCAACCCTTGCAAGTTCAGCTGTAAAATCAGTGTGTGTGGTAGTGCAGATACATAAATGCATACACATTTGTTTTCAAAAGAATTTAAAAAAAAAAAAAAAAGCTTTTTTTAGACATCCTAACATATATGAAACAATAATAAAACCACTAAAATCCTACACGGTGTCTATGTAGCAATGCTGAGGTATAACAAGAACTTTACTTTCCATTTGTTAAATATCAACCCCATCCTATTTGCTTTTCATTTCCAAGGAGCTGCTGCACACCCCACACAATGATTTCATTCATCTCTTCAGATGACAAGGTGTTGTCCAGCTCTGGCACCGTGAAACCCCGTAGCTGCCAGAGGGAGTGGTGGGCTTGCAGCAGATCCGCAAAGAGGGTCCCAGCTTTTTCCCTCGGCATCCCCATGCACGTGACAAACAACAGCCCTGCTTTGGCAGGGAAAGAGGCTCTGAAACGAAGGCTCTGCCTGACTTCACGCCTAGGAGCCAGGAGGCATTTCTCAAGTCGCCAAACCTGCAACGCTGCTCAAATTCCTCCTTACTGCTGCCCTTGGAACCCTGGGGGATAATTTGCAGCTCCTGCTGATGGCTGCAGAAGTTTATGGAGCTGTCTGATTTTTTGCTGGTCCAATAAAAACCACAGTAAGAATTGGTTTTAGGATCCAAGCACCTCCAGCTGGAAATCCCCTTTCTTTCTGAGTGATGGTGAAAGTCACGTGGCCGAGCAGCACTGTTATCCCTGCAGTGCCCCTTGCCTTTAAATGCAAGAGGTTGGAGAACGTGAAAGCAAAAGGAACGCTGGATGGCAAACCTAACATGCTGTCTCTACTGACAGAGACCAAAGCACTTCAAATAGGTTCTAGCCAGAAAATCAGTCTTTTGCAAGCGTTTTTTCTAATTAGCTTGTTGCAATTCATGGAGCCTCCTGCTGAGGAATCAGCTCTCTTCCCAGTGGACCCCTAGTTGCTCCCACAGCCCCACGCTCAATTTGCTCAGCTATGGGGTACTGAATGCTTCAACATATGTCAGGTAGTTTCTTAAATGTTGAAAGACTTCAACAAATGATAACCATTCTATAATGTGGCAGGTTAGAAAAGAAGCTTTTAAAGAGCCTTGTAAAATGAATGGCTTAAACCTTCACCTGAGGCTAGTTTTAAAATCCACTTGTCTGCACTCCAGTGAGGAGGAAGGCACAAATATATGCACGATCAAGGTACAGAATTTTGATGGCTGAATTTGTTAGAAGTAAGCTACGATCTTTGTGGCTATTAATAAATGCTCTGGGGAGCTGGTGTCGGAACATCGGTCACTGAAATAGCCACAGCTTCATACCTTTTCCTCTGTGGAGCAGAACTGGAGTGAGATTTATGGAGGAATCTATAGCAAAAGAAAGGAAGGTAGCACATCACCTCCTTGTAGCAGAGTTTTAATGCCTAATTTACAAGCTGCCTTCCCCTGCAATGTGTGCACTTTTAATCATGCTAATTATAAAGTGCCCACTTGTAACAATGCTGCAAATCAAGATATGCAAAAAAAGCTACACAGAGGTTTGCATGAACAAATAATGCTGCTCAATCTACCCCATCCCACTGAACCGCAAGGCACCTATGCTATATGTCTCTGTCATGAGGAGTAGTGTGATCCCAGGGAGCACGGCAAGGCCTTGCCTCAGTTGAGGACTTTGTGACAGGGAGAAAATTTAACCTGGTGCCTTGAGATGCTCTGCAGGAGTGCAGGGCATTGAACCAGGGGTTGGTGCCACCACATGTGCCACCAGCGACTGGGAAAGGCCAGGGTATCAGAGCAGATATTGAAGGGATGAATGATTGCTAAAGGAAAAGGGATAAACTACTGCTGGACAAAGCAGAGATCCTTCACCTTCACCAGGATGGCAACAGAATCCCTCACTAGATGCGGAAGCTTTTTATGCACTCCCTGGGAAACGACTTTCCATATAAATAATTGAAATGTGTTTAAAATAGATGTCTGCAATTGCTTGTGTAGACAGTCCTCCAAGACCATGAATCCCTCTGCCTCCGTTGTCTCTATACTGCGTCAATATAATAACCCGTGATTTTTCTGAGTAAGGATTTTAACGTTAATGTTTTCTTCATGCAGCAAAAGAAAGGAAAAAGATCTAGAAATAAGCAGCTCCCCATCCACAATTTCATTAATATCTGCTGCTAACTGCCATGCCTATAACCATAAGGTAACATCAAACATGGAAAATGAAAATATACCAACTCTAAATCTACAATGTGTGAGTAGTATAGGCACTAGTGGGAAGAAGCAGGACTCGTCCTGCTGTGAAGGTACAGTCAGGTGTTTCAAGCAGAAGGCTGTGCAGACACTTAGGGTGTTTTGATGGGCGTTTGATTGAATTGTCCTAGTTGTCAATTTAACATTTTTATTTATATATATATATATATATAAAAACTGTGATCGATTGTTACAGAACTTATCTCTACTCAGGAAAAGATGTAATAGCAGTAAGCAATATAGTCAGGAGCTTCTGGTAGGATAAAAGCAGAAGTGTAAGGAGTTGGCAAATTGAGCATCTGGACTTTGAATGGCAACACTTCCATAGCTGTATGTGGGGGTGGGAATAATTCTAAGAGTAAGAAATAAGAAAAAATTCAGACCCCTCTTATTTAAGCATAAAAAAAGTGGAAGGAAATGCATTAGCTCTTTCTTTTCTGATATAGGCTGCAGGTCTAATTTGGAGACGGTCCTAACTTTAGCATTCGAACCAGGGACACTATGAGAAACCACCTGGACCATGAAAAAGCTCTCCAGACACATCCCACTTATTTGCAAAAAAAAAAAAAAAAATTTTTATTTGGAACAATATACCAAAACTAAATAACCGTAAACAAATAAAAACTGAACACGCTGCTGCTCTTTAAATCTTCAGTCCTCATATATAGAGACGATAATATTGTCCAGCAGTGTGCTCCCTGCATGTTGGGCAAAGACTGGCATTCTTCAGGCTATTAGAGAGACAGTAGTTGCAGAAGACGTGGCCACATTTAGTTGACACAATCACTCGTCCGCTTTGCACAATCTGGAAGAAAAGAAACCACAAGAGGAACCTGGTGTGAAGAATTCTGCTTTGCTGCTCTAGTGGTACCAGGCAGAGAGGACTTGGGTGCCTGGAATCAGTACATGGCTGATTAAAGGAACCCAAAGGTCTTTTAGTGCCACCTTGGGAAGTGTTTCTGGCATTACGTGCACCACCAAGAAAGAACTTTGACTTCCAGGCCACTCTGACCTTCCCAGTGAGGTCTGTACCTCAAACCAGCTGTCTGCAGCATCCCACAGCACCCAGCACACATGCTCAGCTCACCCCACATCCCGTTCTCCTTCCAGCACAAAAGAAGCCATGAGAAGATGCAGATCCTTACCTCAGAGTAGAAATCCATGCAGATTGGACAGCTAACGGTACCAGACGGCCTTGTGGTAAAGAGAACAAAAACAGAAAGAACACGCGTCCATTAATGTCACCGTGCATTAAGGGTCACTGCTACCCAAAATGCCTTGTCATCACCCGACCGCACAGACCGGCCATGGTGCATTTCATCTGAAGGTCCCTGCGTGTCTTTCACTCTCTCCATTTGTTGCATGGAATAAGCAGTTAGGGTGCCCCCTCCCTAAAGGAAACTGGGTCTTGCTTCTGCTGAGGGGGACAATGCAGACAGTCTCCCTGCTCTACTCTTACAAGGAACAGCGGTCTGTAGTACAGTGCAGCACACGGGTGGCAGCGCTGATCTTCAACGGCTCAGAAATAAGAGTTTTCTGACAAAAGCATCTACCTGTCCTTTGGAGAACACTCATTCCAAGAACTGCTTCCTTATCAAATCTCTCATGGCAAGAAGCATATTTACAGATATTTTAAGTGTGTCTTTCAGTTCTACAAGCATTTCAACTTACGTCTAGCCATACTGTAAAGCATATTAGATCATGAGTTCATGAAGAGCAGGAGAAAAGTTTGTGCTGGTCTTTGGCTATTTTTTTTAAAGTAAGTTCTATGCAAGCAATGCAAACCGATTTTATGAGTGAAATTCACATGGTAACCAAACATAACCCAAAAGCTCGCAACAAATCAGAGTTTAGAAAGACACTTTAGCTGCTACATACACATTATAAGACCTTGCCCCATCTGGATCACATCTACTTGGACGAGAGATACCCGACTTCTGCTGGCCTCTTGGTCTGGAACTTCTCCTTTCGCCTTGGTTCCCTGTAATTTCATGACAGTAAGTCTGATGCAGTATAAAAATCTATAGCCCTGCAACTAACCTGAAATGTGTGATTACGAATAGTCTTTAACGTTTACTAGGCTGCGGGAACGCCACTGCAATATGGGCTAAAACCCCCTTTCAAAAAACATTCTCTCATTCAAAGCAGGTGAATTCCAGTGCTCAAAGGCACGATTACAAGTATGAGAAAATGAACATGAGCCGGCTTCAGTGTGTGCTTGCAGCCCAGAAAGCCAACCGTATCCTGGGCTGCATCAAAAGGAGCGTGACCAGCAGGTCGAAGGAGGTGATCCTGCCCCTCTACTCTGCTCTTGTGAGACCTCACCTGGAGTATTGTGTGCAGTTCTGGTGTCCTCAACATAAAAAGGACATGGAACTGTTGGAACAAGTCCAGAGGAGGCCACGAGGATGATCAGGGGACTGGAGCACCCCCCATATGAAGACAGGCTGAGGAAGTTGGGGCTGTTCAGCCTGGAGAAGAGAAGGCTGCGTGGAGACCTCATAGCAGCCTTCCAGTATCTGAAGGGGGCCTATAGGGATGCTGGGGAGGGACTCTTCATTAGGGACTGTAGTGATAGGATAAGGGCAAACGGGTTAAAACTTAAACAGGGGAAGTTTAGATTGGATATACGGACGAAATTCTTTCCTGTTAGGGTGGTGAGGC